CCTAGCATTTTGGGAAACTGAGAAAGTCTGATCACTTGAGCCCAGGAGTTTGAGATCAGCCTGGCTAACGTGGCAAAACCCCATCTCTACAAAAAATACAAAAATTAGCTAGGAGTGGTGGTGTTACAAGATCTTTGGGGTGTCACTTTTCTGGCTGGAAACCTCTGTGGCCATTGGTGCCTTTGTCTGAGTTCTTGTTCTGCATCCAGAAAGAATGAGGTGTGCAGACAAGTGGAGAGTGAAAAAAAGAAAGAGGAGCTTTACTGGGTGTTAGAACAGCGCAGAGGAGACTGCAGATCATCCTGTTGAGTCTTCAGCTCTCAGCAGAGACGAGGCCGTGGAATTGGTGGCTCCTCTCTGTAGGCAGGTCAACCTGTCAAGTGTTCACCAATCAGCAGAGAAGAGGCCTGGAGTGGGTGGCTCCTCTCCGCCAACAGATCATACTGATGAGTATGCAACTCTCAGCAGAGAGGTGGTCCTGGAGACGGTAGCTTCAGGCCCCTAGGCTTCAGGCCTTCTTTGAACTGAAGGTGGGGCTTCACTCGGACCCATTCCCTTCTGCCCAGGGGCCTGTCTGCCTCCCGCCTCCATTCATGGAGCGTAGGCTGTTCATGCCAAGTGCCGGCAGGCCAGTGCTGAACTGCCCTCAGCCCCTCCTTGGCTTCCCTCCTATACTCCTCAGTGTCCATAGCCCGAAGGGGGCCAAGGTGGCAGGGGGCTGTCCTGTCAGTGTTGCCCTGAGTGTGTGCCTACCCTGCCGGGCTGCGACAACTCCCAGGCTCAGTTTCAATTCTGCTCCATGATCAGAGCAGGTGTGGGAGCTGGGAGAGGCCAGACAGTGGGAACGGGCAATTCTGAGCCTGTAGGGGGTAGGGGAGCCTTTCTGGGCCCCCAAAAGCACAGAGACACTGGGGTCTGGAGCCACAGCAGGCAACTGCAGCAGCATGTGGGAAGGGCGGGGCTCCTGCCTGCTCTCTGGAGAGGGAGGCCCAGGCCCGTCTCCCTGTTGCAGCCAGAATCTTGGCAGCAACCACTCCATATGGGCTTGTGGCCCCAGCTACTCGGGCAGCTGACATGGAAGGATTGCTTGAGCCCAGGAGGTTGAGACTGCAGTGAGCCATGATCTTGCCTCGTACTCTTCCAGCCTGGACAACAGAGCAAGACCCTGTCTCAAAAAAAAAAAAAAAAGAATTTCAGTATTTTCCTGTGGAATAAAACCTCAGTGGAGAGTCATCTGAACATTCTAATTAGATTTTATCTCTAAAATTATAGTGATGTGTACTATACCTCATGGAGAATGTTTTGTTTGTGCTAATAGAGGTATTAAAATTGATAGCTCCAATGAGGAAGGGGGTAGAAAAGCGATCCCTTCCTACCGTGTTACCATTTTTTAAAAGCTTCCTGGAGGGTAACAATTGCAATGAATTCTCATCAGCTCTGGACAGACTGAGATATGGCAGTTTAAATCGTTTGAGCGTCTGTCATTAGGAACACCACTGGGCTGGTACCTGTGTCTGCTCTACCTACCTCCCACTTTTTTTTAAAGCATTTTCTTTTCTTTTCTTTCTTTTTTTTTTTTGAGATGGAGTCTTACCCTATTGCCCAGGGTGGAGTACAGTGGCATAATCTCGGCTCATTGCAACCTCTGATTCCCCAGCTCAAGCGATTCTCCCCTGCCTTAGCCTCCCGGTAGCTGGGATTACAGGCACTCGCCACAGTGCCCAGCTAATTTTTGTATTTTTGGTAGAGACGGGTTTTCACCATGTTAACACTGGCCAGGCACAGCATCTCACACCTGTAATCCCAACAGTTTGGGAGGCGGAGGCGGGCAAATTACCTGAGGTTGAAATTTCAAGGCCAGCCTGACCAACATGGAGAAACCCTGCCTCTACTAAAAATACAAAAATTGGCCAGGCGTGGTGGCGCATGCCTGTAATACCAGCTACTTGGGAGGCTGAGGCAGGAGAATCGCTTGAACCTGGGAGGTGGAGGTTGCAGTGAGCTGAGATCTTCCCCATTGCACCCCAGCCTGGGCAACAAGAGGGAAACTCCATCTCAAAAAAAAAAGAGAAGTTTCTCTTTGTGCCTGGCCAGTGTTATTTTAGAGGCAAGGCTGTGGCTTTCAAATGGGCAGTAGAGGAACAATACTGCATACTGTCCATTATCTCTGAATACAATTAGATCGATTTGAGATAGCTTAAGATGAGGGGGATGGGATAGCTTTATAAGTCTGTAGACACCAAGAGAGGGAAGGAAGAACAGTGGAAGTCAGCCAACAATGTTTGGAATAGGTTTCCATTTTTGTTTTTAAATAAAAGATTTCTGTGAAAGAAAAACTATTCATGTACAATGGTAAGAAAAAAATATACAGGATATTAAACAGTTGGTTGAGAGAAACAACAAATAGAGATTGAGCTTGAAGATGAAGTGAAGGAAATACTTGAACATGGATGTGGGGTGTCTTTTATTCACGAACTCAGTGTTTCATAAATTACGTGTGGGCCTGTCAGACGTTGAGACATGGAGGAAGAAGACATAGAACTCTTTTATTATTTATTTATTTATTTATTTTGAGACGGAGTCTCACTCTGTCTGAAGTGCAAGGGCACAATCTCACTCAGGCTGGAGTGCAATGGCACAATCTCAGCTCACTGCTGCTTCACTTCCAGGGGTGAGGCAACTCTCCTGCCTTGGCCTCCCAAGTAGCTGAGACTATAGGCACAAGCCACCATGCCCAGCTAATTTTTTGTATTTTTAATAGAGACGGGGTTTCGCCATGTTGGTCAGACTGGTCTCAAACTTCTGACCTCAGGTGATCCTCCTGTCTCAGCCTCCCAAAGGTCTGGGATTACAGCTGTGAGCCACGGTGACCTGCTGACATAGAGCTCTTTTAAAAAGCGCAGTGTAGGTGCTGGATTGTCCATTCATAAAGGCCATACCCATTGGGGCGAGCACAAGAGCAATGGGCATGTCTCTCTTCACTACCGCTTAGGAAATGCTTAGGATGTGTCATAGAGATCTCAAATGCTTCTTTTAAAAGTTTACATTTGCTTAATAACCACTGGCTAAATTATAAGCTTAACCTGCATATACTGCATAGCAGAGTACATTTTAAAGGTGCAAAATAATCACTTACTATTTATGATTTTGGAAAAGGCTTTTAAATCATACTTGCCTTCCTTCTGGCCAGCACAGGATGGAGCTCTTATCCAGACCAAATAAAAGCATTTTCTAAATGGAAGGGATGGAAGCTACTTTAAACACTTAATGGAGTTTTTGGCACTTATAGAATTTTTACCCATTTAGTCTCCGTGTGGCACAAAAGGCTTCCACCTCTTCGATTAAAAAAAAAGAAATAGTAGAGTCATAAATTAAAAATAAAGATGTGAGAAGCAGAGTACAAAGAAAAAGGAGTTTCATGATGCATGAATGGAAACACTTGTTAATAATAAATTCCACTGATGTGAATTTAAACCCAGCTGAGTTGCATAGGCCTCATATTCTCACGATCCTGTTCCTAAGCAAAGTAAATGTCTCCCTGGTGCTTAGGTGATTCTGTGGCCTAATAAACAGAACGTTCAGCTTGAAATGGGTCCTAGCCCCCTCGTCACCATCACTGGGTCTCTCTGTGGCTCTCTCTGCTCCGTCCCTCTGTCCAGGTCGTGTTTGCTGCCTGATTCTGTCTCCAGGCCAGGTCCTGGCCCAGGAAAGAATATTTGCAATCCATAGTTGCTCTGCCTGTGGATGGTGGTTAGTTTGATTTGGAAAGACGCAGGGAGTCCCATCTTGGCCCTGGATCCAAATCTTGTTTTCTAATAAAGTTTTATCATGGTTAAATATTAGGAATATTTGGATATCCAAAATAAATAAGTAAAATAGTATACATAAGTTAATAAAATGTAAATCAGGGGAGATAAATTATTTGAAAATTGTGTAATTATTTCAAAATTAATGTCTCAGTGGGACCTAGGCATCAGCATTTTTAGAAAGCTCCATGGGTGGCCGAGTGTGGTGGCTCATGCCTTGTAATCCCAGCACTTTGGGAGGCCAAGGCAGGGGGATCCCTTGGGGCCAAAGGTTCAATAACAACCTGAGCAACATAGGGAGACCCCTATCTCTACAAAAAAAATTTTTAAGTTGGGTGTGGTGATGCACAACTGTAGGGCCAGTTACACAGGAAGCTGAAGGAGGAGGATCACTCGAGCCTAGGAGTTCGAGGCTGCAGTGAGCCGTGATCGCACCACTGCCCTCTAGCCTGGGTGACAGAGTAAAAACCTGTTTGTAAAATAAAATAAAATAAAATGCAGATTCCAAGGCAGCAGGTCTGGAGAGAGGCCTGAGATTCTGCCTTTCTGACAAGCTCCCAAAGCATGCCCTGTGCTGCTGATTTTTGGACCACATTTTGAGAGGAAAGGCTTTTACTCAGTGGGTCCCAAATGTTTCATGTCATAACCCTTCGCAGAGAAGCTGGTTAAGCCTCACAGATGCTCAGGGCATTCTGTGGAGGTTGCTGATTCAGGAGGTCTGGGAGTTTATGTGTTAAAAGCTGCCCAGCTGATTCTCACAGCTTACGAGCCTGCTGGAGAAAGGCTGCCCTGACTTCTTTTAGGGTGTTGTTTGCCTGGCTTTTGTTGTTTTGCTTACTAAAGCTTCAAAATCTTATTCTCTTTCTTAATAATTCTAAATATGAGTGTATAGGCAACATGATATTTTTTAGTATTCATTACAGTTTTCAAAATTTTCTTGATTACCTGATAGGCAGTAATTTTTAATACAATGAGCAAATGATTGAAAAAAAAGCTTTGATTCCATTTATCTAATTGTGTTGACATTGTTCTTGCTGATCTCAATGTTCTTGGATCTAAAAAAATGGCTAAAATGTTATCACCATTAAGAAAAAGTACTTTAGTTTTTTAGAATTAATTTTATTTTTTTAAATGAAAGATATATTTTCATCATGTTAAGCCACTGATTTTTTTTTTTTTTTTTTTTTTTTTTTTTTTTNTTGAGATGGAGTTTCCGTCTTTTCGCCCAGGCTGGAATGCAGTGGCGCAATCTGGGCTCACTGCAACCTCGAAGCCGCTGAACTTTGGGCATCATTTGTTACAGTAGTTAGCTCTCTCTGATGCATACATTCTTCTTTGCTTTGTGCCTTTAAAGCTGAGGTGCCCCGGGGACTTTTCCATCTATGCACAGTCCTTTGGGGACCCTATCCAAACTTACGACTTTAAAAACCACCTACCGTCTAATGATTTGGAAACACAGATCCCCCCGCTACGCCTCTTTCTTGAGCAGGCTACTATAACCAGTTGCCTGGTTAGTAACTCTACTTGCACGTTCATGGACATTTTCAAACTCTTCTCATCCAAAATGAGATGTCTGATTTTTTTCCCAAACCTGCTCCGACTGTGCTTTCCCTGTACTGGTTGGAGGAACTCCATTCTTCTAGCTGCTCAGATCAAACCTCTCTCACAGCCACATTTAATTCATCCAGAGTTTTTCTTGGCTCTCCCTTTCTAATAGATTCAAGATCCGACTACCTCTCACCTCTGTCAATGCCATGACTTGCCCTAAGCCACCGCTCTTCCTTGCCTAAGTGTCTGCTGTAACTTGCTAGCTGTTGTCTTTTTTCTTCTTCTACCCTCCTCTTTCTTTCTGTTGTAAAGTTTCTTCAAATAACCTTAGCGGTTGAGAGTAACAGAAACAACCCATATTGCAAAACATTGTATTCAATATTCTAATTTTTGCTTTTAGAGAGAAAAAATTTGTTGTTAAGAGAAAGTTGGAAGGAGCTAGGTTTGGTTAACTGAGCTAAAAAGTTTTTTTTTTCTTTTTTTGCGATGGAGTCTCGCTTTGTTGCCCAGGCAGAGGTTCACCACAATCTCTGCCTCCTGGGTTCAAGCAATTCTGCCTCGGCCTCCTGAGTAGCTGGCACTACAGGTATGTACCACCATGCCCAGCTAATTTTTGTATTTTTAGTAGAGACGGGCTTTCTCCATGTTCATCTGGCTGGTATCAAACTCCTAACGTCATAATCCACCCGCCTTGGCCTCCCAAAGTGCTGGGATTACAGGTGTGAGCCACCGCGCCTGGCCAACTGAGCTAAAAAGTTACTGGAATAGTTCAGATGGAAAGAGATGACAGTGAGAAAGCAAGGGTTTTAAATAGCACGTGTTAATTCTTATATAACAACCTCTTCAAATTCACAGGCCTGGGAATGTGGTTGCTTTGCTTGTGGAGAAAGCAGCTGTGTTTGTGTTTGGTATGTACCAGTGCTTCTCCTGTATTGGTTTTTGCTGCTATGGATGTGAAATGGTTTTGCTTGTTCCATCGTTCTCCTTCTTTGTGTGTGTGTGTGTGTGTGTGTGTGTGTGTTTTAAAAAATCTTTTTTGCTTTGGAGCTCAGGTTCCAGATCCTCCTCTGAGCCTTCTAATGACATCTCTTCTGTCTCAGTTAAGATCTGATCAATAATGTCATTTTCTCTGAAATCTGGCTTTAACCATCTGACTATCCTCTCCCTTGCTTTTTCCCTCTCAGCCCCAAATAATTCAGCTAAGGCGAATTATTCAGTGTTTTCTTCTATGTGCTATGCTTTCTTCCCTGTGGGACGAGATTAGTTCATGACATTTCCACCACCTTTATACCCATTTCCTCTAAATCCATAGAACCTAATAGCAATAGTCGACACTTGGTAAGTACTTACTCTGCACCAGGCAGTGTGTTAAGTGTTTATGACTATTTTATAATTTTAACCCCACACTATGTAAGGTAGACCATTTTATGATTCCCCTTCCCGCCGCCCCTTCTTTTTTGAGACAGAGTCTGGCTCTGTGGCCCAGGCTGGAGTGCAATGGTGCCATCTTGGCTCACTGCGACTTCGACTCCTGGGTTCAAGATCCTCCTGCCTCAGGCTCCTGAGTAGCTGGGATTACAGGTGCCTGCCGCCATGCCCTGCTAATTTTTGTATTTTTAGTAGAGGCAGGATTTCACTATGTTGGTCAGGCTGGTCTTGAACTCCTGACCTCAGGTTATCTGCCTACCTCGGACTCCCAAAGTGCTGGGATTACACGCATGAGCCACTGCCCCCGGCTTATGATCTCTATTATACTTCCAGGTATGCCCCACCCAGATGCCCTGGGGTCCTCTTTTCCAGCTCTGTGTGCTCAGACTCCTGCTTCTGGGAGCTAGGCTGAAAATGCTTGCCCTACAACCTTCTGCACATTACCCCTCACTGTGGAGGGACAGTGGAAAGGCTCTGGGAGTTTGTGTCCCCTCCCCTATGGCCAATGACAGAAGGAACTGATGTGAGAACACAAGCACCCAGATCCGTGGCCTCAAGGAGGGAGAGTCTGAAGTGTGATTCATGCTCCAGGACTCCTGGAGGACCAGCCTCAGCGGGCTTCCTTCCCCTTCCCTGTCTTGCTTCCCTACTCCTTCGCTTTTCCTCTTGGGAGCCCATTCCCCAGTAAATCGTGACCTGTGTCTGGAGGAACTCAACCTAAGACTCTAGCCTAGTTCATGCAAGGTACAGTTGCTATTCAAACCCAAGCAGTCTAAATCCTACCCCAGTTCAGAGTTCAAATCCCTCTGTTATGACGCCTCTCATGCCAGTATGATGACTCTGTTTCAATTTCTATTTCTTAGAAAATGTTAGAAATTTTACCCGAGAAATTTTGCAGCAATAACTTTGATATTTGCTCACAGTTCTGAGTATGATACTGGGAGTATTGAAAGTCTTTTCTAGCGATGGGTGAGGTTGTATTTGGAGCATCTCAGTATACTCTGACAAATGTCTTGAGCGTCTTCCTCCATGCACCACAGCCCCGTGGACATGCATCCATCTATTATGCTACTGGGATCATGATTTCAAAAATTCTTTTGGATCTTCTGCTCCCTCCCCTAGACTGTGGACTCCTGGTGGCCTATTAATGGTTGTTTCCCAATGTAGAGCACAGTGTTTGAAGGGAGGTGTTAATCTTTTTGGATGTAATTCTGTACTACAAGAAAGTGGATTTAGAACTGTGGTTCTCAAGGCCGGGCACCGTGGCTCATGTTTGTAATCCTGGCACTTTGGGAGGCTGGGGTAGGTGGGTAGCTTGAGTCCAGGAGTTTGAGAACAGCCTGGGCAACATAGCAAAAAAACCCTGTCTCTACAAAAAATACAAAACTTAGCTGGGTGTGGTGGCATGTGCCCATAGTCCTAGCTACTTGGGAGACTGAGGTGGGGGGATCACTTGAACCTGGGGTGGTTGAGGATGAGCCATGATCACACCACAGCACTCCAGCCTGGGTGACAGAGTAAACCCTGTCTAAAAAAAAAAGAAAAAAAAAAAAGACTGGGCACTGTGGCTCACACCTGTAATCCCAACACGTTGAGAGGCTGAGGCGGGTGGATCACGAGGTCAGGCGGCAGATCACAAGGTGGTCACTTTGGGAGACTGAGGCAGGTGGATCATGAGGTCAGGCGGCAGATCACAAGGTGGTCACTTTGGGAGGCTGAGGTGGGTGGATCACGAGACCATCCTGGCTAACATGGTAAAACGCTGTCTCTACTAAAAGTATAAAAATTAGACGGTGTGGTGGCATGCGCCTGTAGTCCTAGCTAATTGGAAGGCTGAGGCAGGAGAATTGCTTGAACCCAGGAGGCCAAGGTTGCAGTGAGCCGAGATCATGCCACTGCACTCCATCCTGGGTGACAGAGCAAGACTCCCTCGCAAAAAAAAAAAAAAAAAGAATAATTGTGGTTCTCAAATTTCATTTACATAAAAATTACAGTGGGAAGGGGGTGGGCTCAAGTAATCCACATTTTAAGAAGGTGATGTTTAACACGTTATTGATACTTTGAGAAACACTAATTTATAAGGTCCAAACACTGAATACTAACCAACAGTTATGTTACAAATACTTATACGCATTTGCTTCATACCTGGTGCTGTTCTTAGAAAGCTATAAATATTCACTCATTTAATCCACATTTAATCCTCTTAAGGTGACAAGTACTATTAACCCCCATTTTTACATATTAGGAAACTGATGGACAGAGATGCTAAGTAACTTGCCCCACACCTGTAACTAGTAAGTGGAGCTGGGCCCGGGCATTCTGGCCCCAGAGGCTGTGCTCTTAACCCCTTTCCAGTGATACATGCAAGAAAATCACCATGATTCCCAGCATGATTTTTGCTGAGCCCTTCCAAGGAGGCTGAAAGGAACAGAGGATACATCACTGCATGGGACGCACAAGAAATATTTTATTAGTTTCCAGATGGAGCAAAGGATAGAGTGAAAATATTTCAGTAGAGCTCCACGGCTCTCCTCAGGGAGCCCACTCTGGCATCCGTGGCCCCCCAGTCGAGGCACCGCCTGTAGTCCCCCGGCCTCAGCAGGTGCTGCCGCCCCCGGTAGTTGGGCAGCTCGTACAGGACCCAGAAGCCCTCCAGCACGTTGAAGGAGTGGATCTCACTGAGGTGGAAGCGGTCGTGAAGAGAGGAGCAGTCCTCGGTGATCTCCACCATCTGGCCCCTGCAGTCCTCTCGCTCATAGATCCTGATCCTGTGGGAGCTGGTCTGGGGGTTCAGCAAACAGCAGATGAGGGGACATCAGAAAACCTGACTTCCTGGCGGATGGACTTAAATTTTTTTTTTGTATCAAAAGTGACCAGACTAAAAGAAAGAGACTGCCAACACCAGGGCTGCTGTGTATAGTTGGGTAGGTTGTACACTGTGAAACTCAAGAGGGCGCCATTCCCCATTTATTTGGTATGAATGGCTCTCCCTGGGGTTTTCTCGTACAATCTACATGAATAGACACACTGGTCATGCTCAGTACCCCTTTTAAATATTGTATGTATTTTTTTTGTTGTTGTTCTCTCAGCTTCATAAATTTATGGTGGTTTGGGGCTCTTCTTGGATGACACACAAAATAACGAGATTTTAAAACAAAAAGGCAAATGTATTCCTGGCAAAAGATATTATTTTGAATCTCAATACCATTAGAAGAAGCTAGAGGGAGAGGAGGTTGAATTGCTTTTACCCAAATGAGGCTTAGATTGGTGGCAACTCTGGAAGAAAGTCCAGCCCAAGCAATCCTGCATCCGTGCCTTTCTGCTTTAAGTCCTGCTGCTCTAACGTGCTGAAAAGCAAGAGCGTCACAAAGACGGTTCTCAGCTCCAACATGTGCTCCTACAAATCAGTTTTACTTATTTATTTAGAGTTGGAGTTTCTCTCTTGTTGCCCAGGCTGGAGAACAATGGCATGATCTCAGCTTACTGCAACCTCTGCCTCCTGGGTACAAGTCATTCTCCTGCCTCAGCCTCCCAAGTAGCTGGGATTACAGGCACACGCCACCACTCCTGGCTAATTGTGTATTTTTAGTAGAGACGGGGTTTCTCCACATTGGTCAGGCTTGTCTCGAGGTCCCAACCTCAGGTGATCCGCCTACCTCGGCCTCCCAAAATGCTGGGATTACAGGCGTGAGCTACTGTGCCTGGCCACAAATCAGTTTTAGGTAATAATTAAAAATGGAAGTTCAAGATCATGAAGGAACAGCTGGGTATGGTGGTTCATGCCTGTAATCCCATCACTTTGGAAGGCCAAGGTGGAAGCATTGCTTGAACCCACGAGTTCAAGACCAGGATGGATGGCACAATGCACAGTAAGACCCAGCCTCTACAAGGAAAAAAAATATATATATATGTGTATATATATATATATATATATATAGACACACACACACACACACACATATATATATATATATATATACACACACACACATATATATATATATATATATATACACACACACACATATATATATATATATACATACACATATATATATATAGTCTGGCATGGTGGTGTGCACCTGTGGCCCCAGACACTTAGGAGGATCACTTGAGCCCAGGAGTTTGAGGCTGAAGTGAACTATGATCACACCACTCAAGCTAGTCTTGGTGACAGAGAGAACCTTGTCTAAAAGAAAGATCATGAAGGAGGCTGATACAGGTTCAAGAGTATGAAACCTTCAGAAAAATGGACACTTAGGCTGTTTCTCCTGAGCTATTCCTGTCTCTTGTTTTTTTTTTTGAGATAGAGACTCACTCTGTCGCCCAGGCTGGAGTGCAGTTGCAAGATCTCAGCTCACTGCAACCTCTGCCTCCCAGGTTCAAGCAATTCTCCCACCTCAGTCTCTCGAGTAGCTGGTACTATAGGTGCGTGCCATCACACCTGGTTTATTTTTTTTCTTTTTTTAAGTAGAGACGGGGTTTCACCATGTTGGCCAGGCTGGTCTTGAACTCCTGACCTCAGGTGATCTGCCTGCCTCGGCTTCCCAAAGTGCTGGGGTTACAGGCACGAGCCACTGCTCCTGGTCATAACTCTTGTTTTGAGCACTTGTTCTTCCTTCATTTGTTTGTTCCTTTCCATTGTCTCAATGCTTTTCTTCCTCTACATTAAAATATTCTTTAGGGGCCAGGCACAATGGCTCATATATATATTAGGGAAGATTCTCATGAGCAATTCTTTTTGTGGTTTAAGTGACTGCTAATAAAATGGATCTTACAGTCTGTCATTAGAAGAGTTGGAACTTGAAACTGGAAATCTAAGTTTTTAGGTTCCTAATAGCAGACTGGGTCCCTATTGAGCTATTAAACCCTGTGAGGTGATGTCAAACTTCATAAAAGTGGTGCATGTTCCCAGGACTCTGTCACAGTCAACTTAGAGAATCCCTAACTGTGAAATTCCAGGCTGCTGGGGCTTCATTTGGGTAACAGTGGGTCCTGCAGGAGCTATTGGAATCTCAGTGTTGGTTACTGGTTTTAATCAGAAGGCAGGACTTGAGAGGCCCTTGTTGTTTGTAATAATAGTTAATACTTGGGGGTGGGGGTTGGCCTGTGCCAGGCGCTTTCCTTCCACCCTCACTGCAGCCTTAGAAAGGAACTACTCTTATCAGCCCTGTTTTACAGATGAAGTAAGAAATAGCCACTTAGCCTATGGCCAGCTGAGAGCAAGAAATCAATCTGTTGCTTTTCTGTCACCTGTGGCATAGACACTCTGAGCCAATGCCATGCACAACGTATTCCCAGTGAAGATGAATTTGACTTTAGCAAAACAAATAAAATGTCCAATTGAAAGCACTGCATCACACACTTTTTCAGTGGGAGGAAGACTTACGGATGCTAATAAAGAAAAAGAGAATGTAGTTAGAGCCAGAAAAAAGAAAGCTGCCATCCCATCCCATCCCATCGCCTGTCCTGTGAGTCATCCATGTGGATCACTGATGCGACTTGAGGGCACCGAAGGGACTCGGCGGGACTGCACTCACGTGGGGAATGAGGCGGCAGGAGCGGACCGAGTCGCTGAGGCCCATCCACTGCTGGTGGTCGGCATAGTCGCCGCGGCGCAGGAAGTACTGGAGGCCCGAGTAGTTGGGCTGCTCATAGAGCATCCAGCAGCCGCTGTCCACGCGCACCGAGTTGCAGCGGCTCAAGAAGGGCTGCAGGTTGGGGTGGTCGCTGCTGCATTCGTAGTGGCGGCCCTGGAAGCCCCGGTCCTCGTAGAGGGTGATCTGCAAAGCAAGGCGAGGCAAGGCGAGGGCTCACAAGCCTGCTCCCGCCCCAGTCTCAGGTACCCACGATGCAGGGAGCTCCGGGGGCGCGGGGCGCGGGCTGGGCTCACCTTCCCCATGGCTGGCTGGGCAGGCGGCGGGTCTGAGCGGGTGGGGCGGCGCGCGGCGGGGCTATATTGCGGGAGGGCTGCTGCGTTGGCAAGAACCGCACAAAAGGGGCCCGCGGAGGGGAACGTGGGCATTTTTTCTGTCTCTCTCTCTCTCTGTTCTATATAATGACTGTGGGGGTAGGGGTGGGAATTTATTGTATGTTTTCTTTTAGGCTCTCTAAAGCTTTCGCATTGATGATCTGGTTAAAACTGTCAGTGCCATTCGGGCTTTTACATAAAGCCTATTTGGGAAATTGGAATTGAGCAAGTGCTTAAGAGTTAATAATTGTAATTAAATGTTTTATTTACCTTTTACAAATTCAGTTTGAGCATCAACGCAGAATAGTGACCAAGTGGAAGGTCGAAATGGACTACAGCGTGAGGTGTTTAGATTAGAGTCTTCTTGGTGGGAAAATGTAAAACTCGAGGATGAATTTCTCTTCTCCTGGGGTGTTTACAATAGGATGTGATTCTCCTCTAAGAGAACCTCTCTGTGATCCTACCTGCTGATAAGGAGGGTATCAGATAACTAATACAGGAGGTTGGATGCCCGGGGTTGGACTTAAAGAAGCCCTGTTTAGGCACCTGGCCTCAGCTCTGAAACCCGGAGCCTGAGTGGAACCAGGGAGGTCTTCGGCTTCAGCACCGAGCCTGCCTCAGCACAGGCAATGAAACCCGCAACTTAGGGATTCATGAAGCGACACACTGGCGGTTATTACACTGCTAACTTTCTGTTTCACTGACATATTTGCTAACTAAAGGCCAAACGTAGTTGGTTCTAGCTGCTGACAAATGCAAGTTAGCATGCAAATATAACACATTGAAAATTCTACAATCTTGCAAAGATTCTGCCTTCTTCACCCTGGGACAAAGCCCTGGTGGCTCTCCAGTTAAGCCTGACTCCAGGGGCTGGAGTCTTCCTTCCTTTTGCTGAGAGTTACAGCACCACCTGGTGTTCCCC